GGGGGCAAGGACGGGACAAGACAACTTGGTAGCCAAATCCCAGTTACTCAGGGGCAACGGCTGCTAGGAACCATCAGAAGGAGAACACAGATTCCCAGGCAGACTCAAGCCACTGAGACTCAGCAACCCTCCAAGCCTGGAAGCTGGGGGGCAGCGTAGGCAGGTCTTGTGGCTGCTGGGATTGGGCAGTTAGTTGACAGAGAAAAGCACAGAAAGAAGAGGTTGAACTATAGTCTAAATAATCACGATTTTATTGGGTTTTTCTGTTAAGCCCAGGCCAAGAAATTAGCATAAGAAAATTCCCCCAAGACTAGGGAAGTCAAGAAGGCCTTCAGCAGAAATGCAACACCCACCCCACCCCCCCGCAGAGGGTCCCCTTCCTAAATGAGAGGATGTCTTTCTTTCTTTTTCTGCAAACAGGACCTTGTCATGCATCGGCCTTATCCTCCAACAGCCATGTGGCACAGGCTAGCCTGAAACTCACTATAAAAGCTCAGGCTAGCCTTAAACTCATGGCAATTCTCCTGTCTCAGCCTCCAAAGTCCTGAGGTTATAGGGCTACATCATTATCTCCAGCTGGAGAAGTAATTCTCTCCTGCTGAAAGGAAACTCATGTATTTAGCATGAGCAAAATTACAATCAAATGTAGCACAAATAGTAAAAACCCAGAGACTGATATTGGGGTTCAACCTGAAGATCAGAAAAGCAAAGCAGCCAACCACTAGAGAGACTTTTTTTTTAATTTACTAGATTTTTTAAAAATACCAATCCAAGTTCCTACTCCCTCCCCTCCTTTCAATCCTTCCATACATCCTCCCACTCCACCCCCATCCAATCCTCAGAGAGAGTAAGGAACATTGCTTTGTGGAGGTCCAAGGCCCTCCCTACTATATCTAGGCTGAGCAAGGTATCCATCCAAAGAGAATAGGATCTTTTATGGCTACCAAATCTCCAGACCAAAGGGTGAGTTCCTGTCTCCAGGAATCCTCAGACTCCAGCTTCACTGAGTTCCTGTCTCTTCTCATTTATAGTCCTCTCTCCACCCAGCCATATCGCTCCTGTCTCCACCTCCCTAGTGCTGGGATTAAAGGCGTGGAATCACCTTTGTGTGAACTCTTTCTCTTTTAGACAGATTCAATCTCGTACAGCCCAGGCTGGCCTTGAAGCTGGCTTGCCTCCAGAGTCCTGGGATTAAAGGTGTATGCCACCACTCCCTGGCCCTTATCTTTGCCCTCTGATCTTCAGGCAAGCTTTATTTTGGTGTGAGAGGTTCTTCTGTCTATGTGTTGCTTTATTGGTTAATGAATGAAGAATTGAGCCTATGGCAAGGAAGAACAGAACTAGGCAGGGGAAAACTAAGCTGAATGCTAGGAGAAAGAAGGGTAGAGTCAAAGCCATGGAGCAGCCAGAAGGCAGATGCCAGTCGGAACTTTAGCTGGAGAACCACAGTCACGTGGCGATACACAGATTAACAGAAATGGGTTAAATTAAGATCTAAGAGTTAGCCCACAAGAAATTAGAGCTAATGGGCCAAGCAGTGATTTAATTAATACTTCTGTGTGATTATTTCGGGTCTAAGCTAGCTGGGCAGCCAGGAATCAACAAGTGGCCTCTCTCCTCCAACATTATTTATTAAAACACAAATAATATATCACTATATTTTCCACTTTTGTCTAAAAAATAAAAAGAAAGCTATAACTAATATAAGAAAAAACTATATGCAATAAGTGCAAGTATAAATAAAGGGCTCTTGTTCCTCTTGCAGAAGCCTGGGGGTTTGGCTCCCAGAACTCACAAATGCAATTTACAGTCTTTCTTAACTCCAGTTCCCAAGGAATCTAGTGCCCTCTTCTGGCTTCCTTGGACACTGCATGCATGCAGTGCACATACACAACACCAGTACAAAACAAACACATAAAATAAAAATAAATAAACCCTTTAACAATGAAAACCACCACCACAATAGACAAGGCAGAATGCAAATCCTCGGGGCCTGAATCTGAAAGTCTACATGAGTGTGCTCAGGGGGGTTGCAGGAGATAAGGGGTTTTCTGCAGTTCTACAGGTCAGCCCCATAGCCTCGTGCACAGTGAATGTGCCCCCCAAAAGTCATTTGATGATATCTGCTTTGGGTCATCAGACCCCAGTAGCAGCTCTGGGATCTGGTGGACAGAAGGCTAGGATGCTGTTGAACATCCAACAATCTCCCTAAGATCAAGAATGATGCATCTCTCCCATACCACAGCACCGAGTCCAAGAAACCTCCCAAATTTTCAGTTTTCAAATGGACTGAGTCTTTCTGTGATGTACTAATGTCTTCTAATATAAATGCTCCATGCCAGAGACTGTCGCGTGAGGTAGATTGCCCTCCTTTCTGAGGCTCTGTATCTGTGCTGTTGCACACATGTGATCCCAGTGCCAAGGACACAGAGGCGGGGGGGATGGCTGG